AGCTGGAATTTGTTACAGATGCTTCTGTCTTGATTTAACCATGTTCCCAACATCTGTTGTAGTTACTATCATTTGGAACGGGAACCACTGAGGTAGGATGACTTATTGTAAATCCTAAATTGACAATTCAGCACACATTAGCGGAATGCTAGTGTTGTATGGGCAAAATGGGTTTCCCTAAAAGAAAAGGTATGTCTGCTAAAACTGTAACAGGATATGAGCATTTGTTTCGAAACAGGTGCTAATCATTTTTAGTAATTTAGATTCACTAAATCCAATTAGTTGAGGAACTCACAAGCACTCTCTGGCCAAATTGCAGCCAATTTCAGCATAATGACATAAGTAGGAAGTGAAAAGGCTCTCCACGGATGGGGTCTCACCAGGATCCTTAACTTCCTGGAGTCTCTGACAGGATTTAGTGCATTTTTTTATGCATGCATGATCAATTGTTGGGGATAATAGCTGTTGCATTCACTAGTATTTACTGTGATACTGTACTTGTGCAACATTGCTATTCAAACTGAAGCAACAGAGATATTCTCTGTTTCAAGACGTTTCACTTTCCTGTCAAAACATGGCAGATCAAGAGGGTGATACTAGATGTAAGTGACTAAAGCCTCAAACCTATTATGGAGCAATAAACTCTTCTCAATTTCCTTTTATAAAAAATATTTCAAACATCTAGTGTGTTACAAATGGGACTGACTCGTGAAATTAGACTTGCGATTATGGCAGCATTAGAGTTTTCACATTCACAAGTATGGAAGGGTTTACTTCAAGGGGGTAGCAGTGACTTAAATTTCATCACTCAAGAGTACCCACCCGCCAAGCTCCCCTTTGTTGATACCTTTTATATTAAGAACAGCTTAGCTACCAGTAATCTCCAGTGATGAGACTCATTAAGATTAAAACACTGACGCTGTGATGGAAGACTGGTGCCACAGATCATTGCATAGTACAAGTCCAAGTCAAATCTTTAGGCCTTCAGAGAAATGCAACCACTCACAACAACATGATGGAAGACACAGGGAAGTGCTCTGCCGCTTCTCGATGTTTTACAGCCTTTAAATCATTTAAAGCTCAATTCCAGGGTCTCCTGCCTTCTCTTGATGGATGCTGCAGAATAATCCTTGACTATGTTACATGCCACAGCTGATCTTTGTCAGAGTTTGTAAGAGAAAATCTACAGATTGATGGCTCAGCCTTTTGCTTGTCTTCATTTTTTTTGGAAAAATTATTGTATTTTAGGTCTAGCTTAAACGCTAAAGCGTAACCTACAAGCTTAACCAGTTTTGCATGTATACAATGCACCACTCTCTGAAATAAAAGCTAAAATCAAGGTCAGGTAAGTAAGAGGAAGTTTTTCTTTTAAGGCAGTGAGAGATCCACATTTTGCCTAAAAAACAGGAGATGGTGCTTTCTTGGTGGTAGACAAAACAAGGCTCTTATTTAATTATTCAAGGGAACATCTGCTTTTACTTATGGGTATTTTAAGAGTATGAACACCACCCACACTTTCTCAGGACGTTCTTGCAGAATGCTGTTGTGGTTGCTTTAAATTCCCGTACTCAGAAACACAAATACACATCAAATACGCCTCTTCTTGTGAAAAACAGAGGTCCTGTAAACAGCATGAGTCCAGTTTTATAGAATCCAAATACAGAAAAGACAGATAATGTAAGATAATTGTAACTGTACCTTTCCAGGGAGGATGATCTGTTGATTATAGATACAGTATATGGACAATATAAGTAGAAAACCCTATACTTTGGGTTGCAGCTACTACTCTACTACTACTACTATTAATATTCTACCTTTAAGAGTGGGGAGGTGGGAGTAGAAGTTTGAGGAAGAGTTTAAATCATACAAATACATACAAATTAGAAAAATGACGTTAGTCAAGTCTGATCTGGATTATTTGGGATTTTTTTATAAAATGAAGAAGAAGAAAAAAATTGTCATGTGAAGAATGGTTTGAAATATTATTTTAATATTTGCAAAGACTACGGACTTCCAAATACTGACTTTGGTAATATATAAAAGTCTAAAAGCTTTGAATACATTACTATAAAGTGAAACAATAACATGTATTTGATTAAGCTGAAGTGAAATACAGAAATATGAAGTTTAGTTCTTCAGGATTTTCTTTTATGAATCCCTTTGAATAAAAAAAACATGTAGATAACTCTCACAACTACCAAAATGTTACATTTATTATAGATGAGTAGTGGTATTGCACTAATTACATGATTATAAATAGAGAAGTATCAACTAGAAAAGCATCTCTTCCTTTAATTTGTCTTTTCCACACTTTGAAGCACAATCATTTGGATTGTACCCCTGAGATTTGATTTACAGTTAATATAAGACTCTCTTGTGGCACCATTAATGTTATCCTTTGCTACAGGACACCTGAGTCTTCAATCAGGTCAGTTATCTCCTCTGCAGTTCAATGAAACGTGATTAAATCGACTTCTCTGGAAGAGCATCGCGCCTATTTTCAGGCCATAATCACTACCTAAGAGGGTATACTCTGTGTGTGTGTGTGTGTGTGTGTGTGTGTGTGTGTGTGTGTGTGTGTGTGTGTGAGAGAGAGAGAGAGAGAGAGAGAGAGAGCGAGAGAGAGAGAGAGATTAAACTTAGCAGTAAACTTGTCACAGGAAGTGTTTCCATATTCGTACCACTTTGGGATATTTAAAAGATAATAACTTACTTGTTAGAGAGAGAATGAGGAGCACAAGAGCAGTGCTGGTAGTCATCTCCTTTCCGCTTCACTACGCTAAGTTGCTTCTTTCTAATGACTGTCTTCTAAAAAATGTTTTAAATCAAATAAAAAAGACCAGAAATGTCTTGAATGTCAAAAGTGACAATTTAGCCCAACCTCGCGGCTTTCCCTGTTACTTTTTTCCACACAGGTGCTTCAGGTGTTTTCTCCTTTGCTGGAAAACACGCAGAAACTTTGGCTGTTATGGTTTAAAAAAAATATATCACGTGTAAAAAGTGTCTATTTGCCAAAGGCAACATGATGGTCCTTTACTTCACAGCATCCTGCGGGAGTTGGGCAGCCCATTTTGCGCAGCCGCCTCAGCAAGCAACTCTCGATCCAAATCCAGTAGACTAGTCCACGATGGTGTCCCAAAAAAAATCCACATTAAACTTGTTTTCTTTTTTAACTTAATCACTAATATTTGCCTTAAGTTTCTTTTGATGAAGCGCCGATAACTTGAAATTGGCGCAGCTGATGAGACGAGCGCACATGCAGGCGGGACGCTTGCGCTACATTGGCTCCTCGGGGTTAAACCTTGCAGTCAAAGTCCACAAAGAAACCAAGAGCGGTTTTTTCCATCAAACTTCGAGGAGAAGCTACGATGAAAAAGCAGGAGGTCGGGGCTCGGAGAGGGAGGTGCGTGTCTCTCTGCTTGTGTGCGCCTCGCGCCTCGGACCGGAGCAGATACGCACGTCACGGCGTGGACTGTTGTGCATCTGCCAGTCTCATCTAGATGGGCTCTTTTTCAGCCAGTGGCGCTTCCACAGCCTACTTTTCACAACACTGTGACTAACTAACCTTAACTTAACTTAACCGTAAATCACCGCAAATTGGCGACTGTAGACCCCATGTTAAAGAATCAAAGATGCAAATTTAAATGTGAAAAATGCTGTGAGCAGCCATTCATGTCAGATGAGCTCTGTCATTGTTTTGTACTGGCACACAACCAGAGTGTAGACTAAACTCACAACCTGATATAGGTCAGACTGATGGAAGAAGACAGTCTACATGTAACGAACCTAGTGTTGCAGATAATCCAGCACTTAGGCTTCCTCTTTAGGTGGTGTGTAATAGTCTAGACATGGAGATCCAGGTCCTTTTAATCTAAGATAATATACATGTTAGGGTTTTATAACCGTGATAATGTGTTATTAAAATGTGTCAGTATACTCTGCAGCAGAAACACATTAGCGCTGCAAATTATTTCTCACTGCAGCTTTGACATATGGCTGTGTGAAGACCTTCTTATCGACTCATAAATTCAAGTTAACATTATTTTACTTTAATTTTGCCTGTCCAAAAGGGGTTACCGTGAGTTACAATGTTCTAGTGTTAAACAGACCATAATCATTTGTTTGATGGATGAATGTGACATTTTTAAAAAATAATATGGGATATAATGAGGAGAGTGATATAACCTGATGATTCAAGCTGATTTTGTAACTCAAAGAGGAGATAAGCCATTCCAGCTGACAGCACACCAGTGTGACCACACCACATCTTGATTTCTGCTGTGACATTCAGATGATAGATCGAAAGAAACACGTGGAGTAAACAAGCATCCCTCTGACAGTTTTGACAGGTAGGATGATGGAAACGCTAGGTCCCCTTGCCACATTTGCTAAATCTTATGTCGGGAACCTTGGGATAACTTTTGACTCAGCTCTCACATTGGATGATCACGTTAGACTTGTGATTCTTGCTTTTATAAGAAACATTATTAGTCATGCTTTTGCTTCATTATTTACTTTTCTTAACAAAACCTCTTTGGAGCATCTGCAAGATATTCATAACGATCCTGCAAGGTTTTTAAAAGTCTTCTACTCACATGTCACACTGTTGCTAATTTAGTTGCACTGGCTCCCCCATTAACTTAAGGCTCTACTTTTAAGATTCTGGATTTGACTTTTTCGAGCTCTGCATGGACAAGCACCAGCATACATCAGCAAGCTTTTACACTGATACATCCCCAGCAGGTCCTGAGGTCATGTGGTCAGGATCTGCTGGGCATCATACAAGGTTGAGAACTAAAGGAGATGGACCTTTTGCAACAGTGGTCCCCAGACTCTGGAATCCTCCCCGTCTTTTTTAAAAATTTGGTATAGCATTTTTGTTATGAAGCACTTTGTGATATTTCGATTGAAAGCTGCTAGATAAATACAATTGTGTTTAATTCTATCAACAATTCAGGCTGATGGTGAATGGTTATTTTTTCCTTTGTTTGCTTGCTTGTTTTACTGTTGATAGTTTTGTTGCTTTGTCCCTGTGTGCCACGTTTAATTTAAGTTGACTTTTGGACTGACGTTTTGAATTTAGACTTCTGCATTAGAAGAATGAAGACTGGTATTTCTGGTACGCTCACACTCAGGTTTTTCTGGAGGTTTCTTCCTGTTAAAAGGGATTTTTTTCTTCCCACTATTTAAACAAGTGCTTGCTCAAATGGGAGCCCATGTCTGTGGTTAACCTTAATGTCTGACCTCAGATAATACTCACATGTTAGTTTAGTACACGTGAATGTATTTTTATTGTTCATGTGGCTATCACAGTAAAAGAAGAATCCCGTTGCAGCAATATTTAAAACAAAGAAAGCCCGGGGTGGGAAAACAATCATATGAAGAAGTCATTAACATTCTGCTCCTCCTTTAGAAATGTATGCTTGTGTCTCATAGATAAACCACTGCAGATTCAGTGATTAACAACGTTATGATTGTTAATCACTGACTTGTCGTGGAGATTCTGGTAGTTTTTTTCCTTTTTGTATCTTTTTATAATCTCGAATTTTCAGCTGAGTTTGATGCAAAGCATATGATTTTCTGAGTGCATAGTCCTTCTCACAGGACAGAAATATTCACGTTAAAAATAAAAATGGAGAGATTTATTCAAGGTCTATCATTGATGCAGTTAGCATGTGCATAAATCCATCACAGCACAGGCCATATAACTAACACATTACTCCCTTACACGGCCCAGTGGAGATTTCAATCTGCTATAATGGAGGTGACTGTCTGCTTCAGTCAAGTTAACTGGCACAAGAGTGCCACGTTTTACAGCAATTCATAACATCCTTCCTCCCATGCTCTGCTGCTCCATCACTGCTTCTGTCTTACACAGGCAGATTTTAGGTTCATAAAAGTGCTAATAAGATATCTGAAAAAAAATGATGTATTTACAGTAAAAGCACAATATTTATTAGAGGCAAAAATAAATCGAAATATTACACAAAGAATGAGTTACACTGTTAGTTTTACATTTTTGTTCTTGGTTACTGTATGAGGGCACTGGGAAAGGATCTTCATATTCATAAACAGACATCTGAGTGACGGCGAAGTTAGCCAGTGAGGAAACTAGTCAGACCATCAGTTTTCACCACTGATTAATAGGTTTATAACTATTTATTAACCAGTAAGCTTTTTTCCTGTAATGGCCCATGTTAAATATCCCTTGGAGCCTCAGAACATATAAGACTCTAAACTGGACCAGTGATCAAAGGGAGCCTACATTGTGGTTATGATAACAAGAGAACAAGCAGAAAGGGGACTGTAAATACCTCAAGAGGTGTTTCCAAGTATATAACACTGAGAAGGAAAGAGTAAAAGAGGAGTTGTGAGGTGTTGGAGAGGAGAGCCAAATGAAAAACTGACTAAAGTAGGAAACTGGGTGAATCAGCAATACTGAAGTTTGAGTCCAAACAATCTGCATCAGCTAATTTTTGAAAATTAGCTCAAGATCCTAAAATAAAGTGGCTGTGGGAACGTGTTGTAGTACTGTGAATGTTGTGTTCAGGAAAGAATCCATTTTCTTAAAAGTGCATCTGAGAGCCTTGGATGGGAGAGAAAAGTAGATTTGAGAGACGCTACATGCTGAAATAACAATAATCAAACAAAAGTGAAAAGCAGATGAATCTGGGACTGAGGTCTGAGGAAAGTAGGGTGTGGTTGTCCAGTTCACGCTCAAAACATTAGACCATTGATTTATTAGTTTCTTGATGATTTTGTAATTTTGATGTCTACTAACACAAATGTTGTGTCTGAATATTACTGGACTGGTAGTTTTAGAGTTCAGTTCCAATTATAATTGTGAGGAAGACGTTATTGGTGTCTTGCTGTTTTGTCACTAAATTTCTACATGGTGTCCAGATTCATGATGTTTAAATCAATATTTTTAAAAAAGCAATAAAATAGAGAAATACTCCATTGTTATGTGAACATTTAAAAATCCAAAGAGACATGCATTATACATGCATTAATATGCTAATAATGCACAGCATACTTAGACATGATGGCATAAATTATGGGCAAGCACAACTATGAACACAATAAGAGTGAAAGACCTGATATGTAACAAATATCACACAGCTTTTGTGTAAAGAAGGACATCAGATGCTTGTTTTTGTCCTTTTTAAATATGTGCTTATGTTAAACCTGATTCCACAAAATGTAATCAGCTCATTTGTATTTGATGAGATTTAAAGGCACATTCTTAAAATGTATCTATTTTCTTTACTGGCATGAAAGAGAAGATGACTGCATTTTTGAGTGCTCTGGAAGCTGTTTATTTATTTTATGTTGATTAGCTGATGCTTGATGTAAACAACATTTTCCACAGTGTTGATCCACTGAAAAGTGTCAGAAAATGATTTGATATAAAGTTGTCACTTAACTCTGTATTTGTCCGCTGTTGTAAAGGTTGATCTAATGTCTTTCACAAAGGGGGGACTTTACTCACTTTGCCATAAATGCAGATAAAATCAACTTTTTCCTATTACCTCTTTTATTACCTGTTTGCTTGCTGAAAGTAACATTTCTCCATCATTAAATCTCATTTTATCCCAACAGTTCAAATATGAGAAAATAACCAAGAGGTTTGTTAAGCTATTTCATAAAACATCTATTAAAGATAAAAGAAAACATTCATCAAAAAAGAGAGTGTTGAAAATAGGCATACGAATTTGCATGCTTGTTTTGAGTGGGATATTTGTATTATTGATGTAATGAGCTACACCTGGGACTTCTCTAAGTCAACTTAGGGGTAAATACCTACATTTTAAATTATCTCACTTTAGTTGAAAGTAACTG